ACGTTGTTTTGCCTTACAAATTATTTCTAGTTTCTAGATAAATTCTAGTGTAGACAAAAAGTAACTTACTTATTATAAGTGTGTAAGTAAGTGGTATATGCATGAAATAGGCATGGAGCGCTATGAACGAAAAGGAAAATAAAAATAACAAACGCCAAACAATATTATTTTTAAGTTATTATAGTTTATTTATTAAATTATTAAATTAAAATCAATAGATTTGTATGATACCAAGTTCTCTGGCAACAACTGTTGTATCTTCAAATTTAAATTGTCTTGGATTGACTGTAAATAATAATAATAATAATGGGCCAGTAACATTAACCAACAACAGTCGAAGATAAAAGCACTGTGTGTCTTGGATTAATTGTAAATAAGCGTTCGATTTAAAAAAATTGAGACATGCATCAACTGGTGAAACTTGCTTGCGGGGCATCCATTTTTTTGTTTAAGCCCATGTGAAATAGCGTGGTACTTGTGAATAGAGAAATGTTCTTGCAAAGGCACCAAAATCATCCGTACTATTACACATTTCAAAAAATGCAGTGAGTGTAGATTTAGGTGGATTTGTAGCACGATCAATCACAGTGTCGTTCGTGAAAAATACACGCTGACCGTTTTCAACATGGACGGCTAACTGAACAGCTGCTGGATCCCGTTCATGAATTAGAAAACCGAAGATACGCCAAGCAGCTTCATTGGAGCTGATGTACCGACCAATTTGGTAGAGCGTAATTTCACCGTTTTTGTTCATTGGAGGAGCATTTACATTAGTATTTTCTACTCTAAACACAGCCATATCACTGCCTTTATGGACATACTTATATTGTATGTCTTGCTTAGCAGAGGCGAATACAGCACCACCCGCCATAGTCCCCCATTATCGGGATTTCTTCGACGATATACTGGATATTCGTCGGTATTTGTTATAGTATCATTAGTGAAATCTTTAGAAAAATTTTTAGTACATTTTCCATCTGCCATGCAAGGCGAAGACGCAGAAACGAAGTGGATGTAAATGCTCGATGTACTTGTTGGCGTAGTTACATAAAATATTAAGAAAAAAATTTTTCTTTTTCAAAAAAATAAACAAAATTTATGTCAAAAAAATAAAAATTTTTTTGTTAAAGCAATAAGGATATTTTTGCTGGATAGGGACTCCCTAATCACTTCAGCGGTATGAAAAATAGATAGTAGCCGATTCTCAGACCTACTGAATACGCATATAAAATTTGGTAAAAATCGGTAAAGCCGTTTCGGAGGAGTACGGTAACTAACATTGTGACATGGAAATTTTATATATAAGACCGCAAACAGACATCGTTTGGCCTTGTGACTTATTGATGGTCTTTACAAATGTCAATCTAATAGGAAATTGAACGCGTTTGAATTAAATTGGCTTGTCTGTGAGAATCATTGGAATTCTT